CAAAAGGTGGAGTATTTCTTTAAAAAAGCAGATCTAAGCCAGTGGATACTTTTCATGCAGTTGTGAAACAATTATTTGTGGGGTTGTTCTTTATTTTTTTTAAATAAATTGGCATATTCCTTTAAAAAGCCGATCTGAGGCGGCGTCCGTTTCCCATGCAGCTTTTATGTTTGGTTGTGAAAACGCTGACCGACAACAGAAAAGTTTAATACACGGTGGATTTGTATCCCCATGAATATTCATAAGGCCATCTCCATACAGCGGTTCTACCAGTTCCACTTCCTGTCCTCAATTATTAACATGCGATGCTGCTCTCTCAGCTAATGTCATACAGAACTAGCGGGGCCGGTAATGAGGACCCATCACGAAACTGGAAAACAAAACAGATCTGTGGCCATCGAAAAAAAAAAAGAATGAATAGTCCAGTATTTTTGATCGATCACTAGGCAGTGGAAGTGTAGAAACCTCAATCTTGAAAACACATAAATACCACTTCAAAAATGCGCAATTGTCCTAAAAGCTTCCAGATCTGCGTAAAAATGCCTGCGTTTACATGTAAATGGGGGCTTCTCAGTACAATGGAATGGGCCCTAAATCTAATCAATCGAAACCTGGCTAATCGCTGTGCACACAATGAACAGTAAATCTGGGCTGCTCCATAGATGTTACATTATCCAATCCAGCTTCTTGGGAGAGTCACTAACATTTCTATGGACTAATTTAAACTGTTTTTAAAGCCAAAACATATATTAAAATATCTATATTTTTCGGTTTTGAATTAGAACGTGGAAGGTGAAAGTGGTGAGAACCCTGATCAGGTTTAATGCTCTCTGGTAATCCATTTACCTCACTTCCTGCTGATAATGGTTTTACGAGTCAATAAATTAAGGAAAAACCTGCAACATAAATAAATATGTGACTGGGGTTCTAGTTTTCCCCTTAACTATTAAAATAATGTTTTGTTTCCGTCTGTGTTGCAATGAGGTGAGAGTTCCCCTCACCTCCTGTCTAGTAAAACTTGCTCATCGGGACAGGAAGTGAGCGGAAATCTCTTCAAAGTAGCCCCAGATAGCATTAAAAAACTCGGGGGGGGAATTTATCAAAACTGGAGCAGATGGGCATGGCAACCAATCAGCTTCTCTTTTCAGAGAGAAGCTGACTGGTTGCCATGGGTAACTTTTGATAAATTCCCCTCAAAGTTTTAATGCCTTGCCGTTGTACACAAAACAGAAAGAAAACGTTTTGGCTGCCACACATTATAAACCTTGTAGAGAAACACACATCTTTCAAGAGAAAATGTCAGTTGTACAAACGTTTCTTCTCCTCTATGTAATAATTGTCAGGGTAACAACTAGATGCATGTAACCAGTAGGAGCCAATCAGGAGTTTGTGGTGCATGTTGGGAATATCTCCCTATCCCCACTGGATCTAGAATAAAGCTGCATTTCCCCATCTGACAACAGTACAGAGTCTTTCTGAATCAACAAAAAAAACTATCTGTGGGTGGTCCTGCCAGCACCACCCGGCTCCCCAGCCACTGCAACCACACAACCATCGGATGAGTGCAGTGCTCGCTGCCCCTTGTTGGCTGCTGTGGTTCCTACCACTGGTCTGTACGTTGTGCAATGACGCTTCTTCTAGAAGGGGGCTTTTTTTTTTTGGGTGACAGGGTCACTTTAATACCTGGGACCTGTAACTCAGCTGTCATAAGACTGCTGTAGGCCAGTACTGAACACTTCTTGACAGGTGACACGTCATCCCTGAGGAATGCAGGTAATGTGTACCTTGTACCATACCGTGTTCAGACTTATGAGCCGACTGTAAAACATACGACACGGTGCAAAGCTGCATGCAATGCAAGCAGAATTCTAAATACTTCATAGGCTAGGCTAACCCGGTCTAATGAAGTGTATAGATATATGCACATAGGCAGCAGCCATATCCGCTTGCTACATATGAGCTCTGCTTTCTGCTTAGTACTGCTGCCCCATGATTGTGCCTTACTGGTCCTCTCATCTCAGTGCTAGCTTACTCAGGGTCTGAATGGAAACAATGGCACTCATGCAGTCTCTAATGACATCATACAACAATAATGCTCCTGATAGCAAGGAAGTAGTAATTCTTTTTTTCTATTAGTGCTTTTAAACCCCTTCCCGCTGGCTGTATGCATATGTGGCAGCACATAGATTGGCCTCCTTCTCTCAAGGTTAGCCTCTTTTTGTCTGATTGGTGGATGTCCTCTTTCAATATTTGCTCATTGCACTTATGACATGCCTGATGAAGAGGTCCTGCATGGCCTTGAAACGTTACACGGATACTGTCTATGAAGTGATCTCTTTGATAAAGCTTTTATACGGTTAAGGATTGATCCATGGTACGCTGGCAACTTATGTTCTAATCCACGTGGTGGCACCAGCCGGCCTGCAGGCAGTTGCTACAGTACGCCGCTTATTCAAGGCCTTGTACCATCACTGTGTGCAATGGGAACATATTGAGAGCTGTGTTCTGGTGGGAGTGCGCTCAGCTGCATGCCCCAAGACATCCTATCGCACTCCAGACCAGTTTCCCAATTCAAAATAATCCAGTGGTTGCTGTAGTGACCTGCGGATGGCGCTGCATGCACCAAATGTAGAAGTGATGGTCATCAGCACACCGGGGTCCACTTTATCACTCTGTTCTTATTGTTACAAGATAAACATGGTACCGCAGAAAAATGTAACATTTCAGAACCACATGCGGTTCTTTCATCGGGCAAAACAGTGAAGGAACCTTATGTGATTGTTAAATGTTGCATTGTTGTGTGATACCATGTTGATCTAACCTCAATAGAGTGGACCCTGGTGCGTTGGTGACTATCCCTTCTACAACTGCACACCCCAGAAAAAGGGGTCTGCACATAGAAAGAAAAAAATATATGAAGGAGCCAGGAAAAACTAGCTTTGTTTTACCTTTCGGCATGAAGGGGATAGAAAAGAACATGATTTGGTTACGCTGACAAGTGCCACATTTATGTGAAGTATGACAGGTCTATAAAAAATAAAAGTAAAAAAGTGGTAATATAACATATATTAGGGATGCACGGATACTGGCTTTTCGGTATAGAGTACCAATATTTTTTCTGCGGTACTCGCTGAAACAAAGTACCGGTGCCGTGTGCCCAGATTATCAGAAGTCGGGTCATGACCCGTCGCATGGCTTCCTGATTGCCTGTGAAGCTGGTGTTCTAGCGAAAGAACACCGGCTTCACCCGACCAAACAGGAAGCCGGGAGGCGAGTCAATACGTGCCGCCTAGCTCCCTGATTGGTTAGGAAGCCAGGCTGCCTAGCAACAAGTGAAGCCAGCTTTCTAGCCATTCAGGAAGCCAGGAGGCGGGTCATAACCCACCACCCGGCTTCCCGATTGGAAAGGAAGCTGGCTTCCTGCTCTCTCGGCACTTCCGGTCAGAGGGAGATCTCCGGTATCGGAGCATTTAGGTGACTAGGAGTGCTTGCCCAAATACTGGGTATCGGCACCGATACTGATACTAGTATCGGTGCATCCTTAAACACATACATACACAATTATATATATATATATATAATCTATATTATCATTCTCTTGATAAAGACGGACTGATGCTTTGAGTTCTCTCCGCTGCAGGACCCGTGAATGCCTCTATACCTATATTGGGTAGGTGTATACACTGTATATATTTCAATATTATATGTTTGAAGTTGAACATAAAAAACAAAAAAAAACAAAAGAAGAAGAATTCTATAAATATGTCTTGCTTAAAAATATTGCAAAAATGGGAAAGCCCGGTATTGCCGTTTAGTCTTTCAATCAGACACAATAATAAACATTGTGGTTAAGTAAAAAACTAAAACCCAAATGGCTACAACTTCTTACTTTGCTGACCATTCTCTTTTTCTTGTGACCGGGGTGTAAACAAAACACATTCGGTCTGCAAGAGAAGATAAAGAAATCTTTGATGCACATCCCTGGAGCCGGGGTTATTACTCCCCCACCACCGAGTGACCCCGCATCCTTTGTTCCCAGCTGGGGTGGCTTGTCAGGACACAAGTCCTTCTGCCTCTTTTGTCTACTTCTGTATAGAGAATTTCAGTCTTTGCCCTGGGTGGCACAAATGGCCGGCACCTCGGCGGCCGGATTAGAGTGAATACGGCACCCTGGGTTAAATGGCAACCTCAATGGTGTTTTGTGTCTCACAAAACATAAAACCGAAGAGGTGACAACAGACGCAGGACAAATGTATGTCATTCCACAACCTTTCGTCATCTAGTAAGGGTTTCATAATCGTTAAGATAGAGGACAATATCTGGCAAACTTTATCACGTACGACTGATGTTAATAGACTATTTGTAGAATTTGTTAAAGAGGAAGTAATGAATACAATACACAAAATGCACCACACAGAAGAAGAAAAAAAAATCACAAAAATAAACCCCTGGCTAGGAAGCCCTAATACTAGAGCAGCCACCAAGTGATGTACTGTGTTAAACCACCACCATCGATCCGCAAGTATTTCTTCTACAAGGTGGTATTAGGAGTGATCATGAGAAGTTGGTGACAGGGTCGCTTTAAGAAAGCGCTTGCTCTGGTTATCAGTAGCACTAAGAAAAAAAGTATCATTAGTGTCTGTGGCAGTCTACTGATACCAGTGAAAGGGGGGCCATTTGTTT